CCTCTCCCTGGCCACCACCTACAGCTTGTCCAGGGGAACACCGAGGTGGTCCCAGACAAGTGGAGAGATATAATCTCTTCAGCGTGTCCTGGGTCTGCCTCGGGGCTCAGGAGGCATCCTTGTCAGATGTGCAAACCACCTCAACTGGCTTCTTTCGATGTGAAGGAGCTCTACTCTGTGCCCCTCCCAGATGGCCAAACTCCTCACCCTATCTCTAAGGGAGAGGCCAGCCACCCTTCGGAGGAAGCTCATTTCTGACGCTTGTAACCACAATCTCGTTCTTTCGGTCACTACCCACAGCTCGTGTCCATAGGTGAGGGTAGGGGTGTAGATTGACCGGTAAATTGAGAGCTTCACTTTTACAATCAGCTCTCTCTTCACCACGACGGACCAGTACAGCATCCGCATCACTGCGGCCACAGCACCAATCCGTCTGTCGATCTCCAGCTGCCTTCTCCCATCCAGGACCTCTGCTCCTGGCCGCCACCTGGCTCACAATGCACCCGGCCTCTGCAGCGCCTCCTGCAGGTGGTGGGCCTGTAGGAAGATGGGCCCATGTCCCTTTTTCGGGCTGTGCCCAGCTGCGCTCCATTGACTAAGGCCCCAGACCATCACACTTCCTCCTCCATGTTTGACAGGTGATGACACACTGTGGAACCATCCTTTCACCTACTCGACGACAAAGATCCTGTGTGATGAACTGAAGATTTCACATTTGATCCATCGGTCCATAATACCTTCTTCCAGTCTTCAGCAGTCCAGTGTTGGTGTTTCATGGCACAGACAAGCCTCTTTGTCTTGCCTGGCTTTCTCGCTGCAACTCATCCTGTCAAACCTGCAGCTTGAAGTCTTCTCTTCACAGCTGAAACAGACTTTCTTACTACGAGCACTGTTAAGCTGCTTGAAGCTGTTGTCCTGTGAGCCGCCATCACATGACCTGATTCAGTCGTGTCTCTGGGTCTGTCAGACTCTTCCTGTCACAGTTTGTTTCATAGTGCAGAAGGAAACTGGACTCACTGACACCTTGACTTTCTTTGCAGTCTCTCTGTAGGACAGACCTACATTTATAAGAGTTATGATGGTCCGTCTCTCTTCCATTGTTAATTGCCTTTTTCTCACCATGTTTGTACCAACACACTGCTTTCTGCAGCACAGTACTGTTCAGCTGATGCTGACGAGGGTACCACAGTGTGTCCAACACTGCTTTATGCAGACAGAGGAATTAGTAGCACCAGCTAAAATAACCTAACACTGAAAAAATTTACAAAGCAATGTGGCAGGCAACAAAGGCAAGCAGCTGAGTATATTCACCGGATCGCCATCAATTACAAAGGAGAAAGAACTCGTAAAGGCAGCATGCAAACTGAGCAGAATACAGAATGAGCAGAGATTACAAAGAAATCAAGAAACTTACTGAGAGCAAGGCCTCTTTTACAAATCTGTCTCATACAAAAAGCTGCTGTACAGGTATTAATAGGCATTAATAATATTTCATATAGTGCAGTCAAAACAACCTAGAGCTGAATGTGCTCAAAACTGTAGGGATCGAAGTGCACTCCAGAAGAAGTCCCTCTCCATTACCGCCCCGTACCTTACTCAACAGCACTGCTTCTGTCAGGTTCTAAGGTTTTAATGGTCACTCAATATAGACACTATCATCAAAAAAGAACAGGAGAACTCAAGAAGTTCAACCTGCCTCAGGAGCTGTTGATCCAATTCTACACTGTAATCCAGTCTGTTCTCTGCTTATCCATCACTGTCTGGTTTGGCTCAGCCGCAAAATCTGACAAGAACAGACTACAACAGACAGTGAGGTCTGCATTTTTTTTCACAAATCCAGAGTCAGGAAACAAGTAGGCAAACATCACTACAGACCCATCACACCCTGGATACAACCTGTTCCAACTCCTGTTCTGCTACAGAGCGCTGCCTGCCTACCTGTGAATATCACCCTACTGTCTCGTCCCACAACAAATTAAAATAATGAACCAGGAAACACATTAATTTAAAAATAATTAAATATAATTTTAATATTACTCATTAAAATCATCCATCCATCTTCTTCCGCTTATCTGGGGCCGTAAGGGGCAGCAGCTCAAGCAGAGAAGCCCATCTCCCTCTCCCTGGCCACCACCTCCAGCTTGTCCGGGGGAACACTGAGGTGGTCCCAGGCCAGCTGAGAGATATAATCTCTCCAGCCTTTGGTATGTCTGCCCTGGGGGCCTCCTCCCGGTGGGACATGCCCAGAACACCTCACCCAGGAGGCGCCCAAGAGGCATCCTTGTCAGATGCCCAACCCACCTCAACTGGCTGTACTCTGTGCCCCTCCCAGATGGCCAAACTCCTCACCCTATCACTATAAGGGAGAGGCCAGCCACCCTTCGCAGGAAGCTCATTTCTGCCGCTTGTATTCACGATCTCGTTCTTTCGGTCACTACCCACAGCTCGTGACCAGTGTTGGTCAAGTTACTTGAAAAAAGTAATCAGTAACTAATTACTGATTACGTCCCCCAAAAAGTAATCCCGTTACTTTACTGATTACTTATTTTCAAAAGTAATTAATTACTTAGTTACTTAGTTACTTTTTAAAAACATGATTTACAATCTGAACAGGTGATAAAGTGATAGATCTCTCAGCCCAATTCTACTTTTTCTGCATAATAATAATAATAATGCATAGATTCCTCTTCTTTTGGACATCACTGCTTGTATTTTTCTCATTTTTAACATTTATATTAAAATTATTCAACTTTAATCAAGAAATTGTGGAAATACAAATGCAAATCACTATCATATTTTCTGGGACTGTCATGTTATTAAAACTTACTGGAAGGGAACACATGCAGCAATACAAGAAACATTTGGAAGATATTTACCTTTGGAAAGCAAAACTCTATTTTTTGGACTTATGCCAGAAGGATGGACAAAGAACGATAAATACTTGTTTAATATTTTACTGGCTGCAGGCAAAAAAGCCATCACAAAAAATGGCTTTCTTCAGAGAGCCCAACTATGAACATGTGGATGGACATCACAATGGACATTCCCAGAATGGAGAAAATGACAGCAGATGTGAACTACAAGAGAGACCTGTTTGTATCACGATGGAGGAAATGGATGGACTACATAAAAAACACAGGCCAGATTTTGCTTTTGCTTTAGATTCTGACTTTGTTAACTACTAGAAGACTACAGGAAATATTAGTTACATTAATGGAAACAAAAACACACTACATTTTTTTAAATTATTTTTTTCTTTTTCCTTATGTAACTTTTATTTATTTATTGTTTCCTGTTTTGCTTCTTTTTCTTTTCTTTCTTCTTCTTCTTTCATTCTTTTTGTATGGATATTTTAGTTGTTTAAATATAGAAAAAAAAGAAAAATATATGTAGTTACAAATTGCTGAAGTTGGTGGTATTGTATAGTGATTCCAAAATGTCAATTAAAAAAAGAAAAAAAAAGACCTTTTTAAATTCCTAAAATATAAATGTCCAGGGTGAAAGTCTCTAAATTATTTGTCCAATACTGTAATATCTGTGGTAAAATGTTTACAGGTCCATCACAATTACCCTACAACAAATACACACACATTTTCATTTAGTAGTTTTTATATATTATATTTATGATATTAATAGAATAGAATAGAATAGAATAGAATTTAACTTTATTGTCATTGCACATGTCACAAGTACAAGGCAACAAAATGCAGTTTGGATCCATCCAGAAGTGCTTTAGCATGATATAGATATATTACAATATACATATTAGCAATAATATAGGTATATAGACATGATATGGTAGCTATATGGTATAGCTATGATATTGTAGCTATAATTATAGAACAAATATAGATACAGAGTAGGACTATGATTTGATTTTTTTTATTTGAAGAACAGCTATGACAAAAGGGGTTTTCACCAGCTTTTCTGAACTGCTACAATTAAGAATTAGAAAACACAAACACACACACATCCAAGAAAAGCAGTTCTTGTTGATTAAGATGAACAGGTATGCAGACCGAATATTTTTTCAGGTTCTCTTGTGCTTTTAAAATAGTAGTATTATTCTGCCATCTGCTGGAGAAATGTGCAACATATCAGCATCACATCTGAAAAGTACTTTTCAAACCTTTTTGTTTTGAAAATATAAAAGCATTTATAAAAAGCCTTAATGAATGCTTAAACAGAGGCGGTGTGGTTTGCTGACCCCTGCGCCCCTTTTATAAGTTCTTAACTATTTTTTGCATTTTTTAAATTTATATTACATTTACATTTAAATCTATAACTAACTATATAACTATATATAAATGTCATCTGTGAAACAGAATATTGCAAGCAGGTTCTTTAATATTCTCCAAAAAACACACAATTTCAGTATTTTAATAACCAGCACGTGTTATTTTAGAATGAGCATAATGAATGTGAATACAACAACGTGCAAGTTTGGAATTACTTATGTCTCCTCAGTACGGTGCTGAAAGCTTTAAATAAACCATCCCTTCAATAAATAACCACATATTAAAAGGTAAAACACTTTGACTTGTGACACATGCATTCAGCCACAATTAAAAACACAAAGTCAGTGTCTTGAGTTTCATATGTGATGTTGGATCTGCAGAATCATCATTTTCACCGAGTGGTCATCTCTGTTATGAAATTTGGCAAGATTAAAGACCTCAAAAAAGAAAGTCTCCATCTCCAGCTCATGCAACTGCATACACGTATCAATATTATCTTCATAATAGTCACAGTTTAATGTGGGCATCTGCTGCTGTAAAGTAACGTTATCACAATATTCTGCACAAAATAAGCAGATGTAGAATGTGTCTGCTTACGCAAGACTTCTGGAGCTCAAATACGTTAAATATAAAAACACATTAAATGTCTTTTCATGAGACTTTGTGGAGTTCCAGAATGGAAGAAAAGCTAAAGCGAGGTAATTTATGTAAAGACAAGTGATAATGTCAAGCTTTTATCTTTGATAGTCTTTGAGATAATCATCTTCAACTATTGCATCAGATTTCACATGTAAAAGGTTTCAGGTATGCCTCTTTGCTCTAAGGCTTTTATCCAGTTCACCTTTATATTACATTAAGCAGGGACTCATTGTTTTTTCTTCCCACAAAAAATTGAGACACAAAATATACAGTCAACGTTTTAATTAATATTACACTGTAAAGTCAAACTTATATCACCCAATAATAAAATTCAAAGTATTCACTTATCAATGAAAAGTACTGAAGGAAAAAGCTTGTGTGTAATTAAATTGTTATACTATATCTTAATGTACTATAAGTAAGATCCATTATTTTGAGAAAAACGACTGCCTTTATTATTTTATTAATTTATAACTCTTAGTTTGTCTCAGTATACACGCTATCCTGCCGTAGGTTATTGAAATGTATGCATTTGCTTGTGAGCTTTATTTAAAATACTCTTAAGTAGTTATCACGTTCGTTGTAATGTACAACATATAACACAACTGCAGTTTTAGATTACTGTTCATTTCTTGTTGCTGTGGGAAATAGAATAGCTGTCTGTGTTGTGTTGTGATTTTTTTTATGTTTTTTTAAACAGGACATTAACTCTTTCGTAATTGCTCTCGACAACTAGTATTAGTTAAACTTTTAGACTTCTGCAACATATGATGAGTTGCCACAGATCACACCAGCATCTTCATAGTGGGCACAGTTATGTGTCCCCACACCAGCATGTCTGCAATCTAAAAGGCTGGATTCAGTGCCTACACACTTAACATCATCAAGAAGAATCCGCAAATCCTTTCCCTCACCAAACTCAGAGTTCTTAGCTGCTTTCAGAGCATGTTGGAAACCGAGCTGCCGGCAAACCACTCTAGCATTGACAAGGGTCCACAGGTCATCACACACGGTACCCCATTCCCCATTAATGTAGATTTCTACACGTCCACGGTCACTCCTGGAATCCCCAACCAGTCTCACTGCTCCCGTCTGGATGTGAGGTGCACGTTCCAATTTGGATTTATTCTTCCTATGCCGGCCTTTACGCCTTGAATTTTTGGTTGTTTTGGAAGTACCTGTGGCTGGTACAGGAGTAATCACGCCTGCTCCTATTTCACCTCGATGATCACTTAGCTCTTGGTGCCATTGATAGGATTCAGTGGATTGTGGCTGAAAGTTTTCATTCGGCAGGTCAATGCCAACCAGCGCTAATGGAAGATCATGAAACAATATAGACCAAATGATATTATAAAAACTGAGATAGCTGGTTTATCATTTCAGTTTGTGTGAAGAGAATGTGTATGTGAACTCACTTTCTTGAGGAACAAACTTGATGAGATTGCTTTTTACTCTCACTGGAAGAGGGTTGTAGTGGCACTGTCTTGGTGGTGCACGTCTAAAACACAATGACAAATAACTGTTTATTGATAGATTCTCTGTTTATTCTTATTTATCCGCTGACAGTCTGTTTTTAACAGTCAAGATCAGACACGGTGATAAAGGAGGAGTTAGGTTCCTTTTATTGCTTCTCTTTGCCGTCCTTTAACATTTAACATTTATTGTCCTTTTGGAAATTGACCATACCAAGGAATCATTGTCGTCTGTGGAGACCGCCATTGCACTGACTGCTGTGTTTTTAGAGGGGTCTGCTTTAAGGCAGTCGTGAAATTTCCTCCCCATATGAACAGCAACAATTACTAAAAACTACTCTTCCATCTATTTACTGACTTCTGTTATTAATTAATAACCTGACATTAATAACCTGAATTAATCTCCCAAATTAATTAATCTTTCTCAGTGATTACATTCCAATTTACACCTAAACTGTGTCATTTGTTAGACTGCAACATCATAAGGTTCAACCGGGAAAAAAAAAAGCTAAAATCTCTCCACTCACCAGAAAAACATGTAATGGGCATCTTGAGGCACCTAATTTTGACTGTCTAGCTAATCAGATACAATATATTGTGAAGCCCACAACTCAAGAAGAGAATTAGAACAAATACATTGTAATCACGTCGAACTTCCAGACCTCGTCTTTATTACTGCCTCTATTAACACAAACCCGTTGATCTCCTCCACTTTGACAGATTACAATTGTAGTCTCCCTGTAGTCTCTCTCCAGTTTGGCACAATCCAGACTTTCAAGATTAACAGAGCAACTCTTCACATTAGAAATGGGAGTAGAAAGGAATCACACATCTCCATCAAATCTTCAAGTTAATACACTCGTGTTAGCCTCTAATCTTTTTCAAACTTTCTGATTAGACAACAGAAATGTTCTTTACTACCTGCAACTACAAAACACAGCTAAGAAGAGAATTCCTATACTTCACAACCCCACAGATCTCAACTCTTTCCCCAACAAACAAACAATAAAAAACATGAGCACAAAATCAATATAACTATTTGCAAATGAAAATAAGACTTCAAGAGTGGATTTTCGGACATGGATTTCTATGAGTGCATTTTTACCTACATTTATTCTATAAGTCCGTGACAAAAATACCAATTTACAACTGAACTGACAGAAGTTGAGACCTGCAGCTAAAGATGAGGCACTGAAACGGTTTATATAAGAAACAGAGAAAAGTCCCTGTCTATCTCCACATCTGTAAGAAGAGTAACACCAAATAAAAAAACTAAAGTGCACTTCAGCAATCCCTCAGATTGACTGCAGGAAGATGCATTATTGAGATTACTGAAAATGTTCTCACTGTATTTTCTACCTTTCCATCCCCTGATACAAATGACTGGAAATATTTTGGAATCTTGATCACAGGTCTTGATTAATAGCATGCACATGTGGGCTGTCAAGTAGCCAGGAACGCTTCAGTGACTGAATCTCACTGAATCTATATCTATGTACAGATGTTTCTCTGTACCTGACAAAAGGAACTAAACAAAAATAATGGTAAGTGGAACAGTGTGGTTATACTTTCTCTACAAAGATGTTTCTCCCTCTAAACAACCTGTCATTGATTCAGGTGAGTTTGCCTAAATTCGTATTAATTTCATTTAAAACAAACTGAAAATAATGAGTAATTCTATCACTCACCTTGAGGGATCGATGACTTTATAAACGACTCCTGAAGGTGATGTAGCACTTGGTATTGCAGTGGACATGAAGTAAAGCTCACCTGAAAAGAATATTACACAAAACATTCATTTCAACTGCTTAAACCAGCTAAAAACACTACAGGAAAAACTGTGAGATTGTGAGATGATTCGTTACCAGATTCATCCTCAGCAAAGGAGATAATGTACTGGTGATAGTTGTTGATAAGTCCAGGAAAGGCACAGGTTAGCCCCATCCCCATACATATCTCGTTGTATTTCCAGTTTCCTGTTGTTTTGTCCTCCTGCAGGCTCATCAAACGCCTGGAACATAAATAAAATCTATGATTTCCAATGTGTAGGCACTTTGTGTGTTTTTTGTGTTTTTAATTTCACACCCCTTAGTACCAGTTACTTCTGCATTTTTAGAGTACTTATGAATTCCTTCAAATAACTATAGTACATTTGGTACATTGCACATTGGAGTTTTGGATAAGAAATGAAAGATACAGAAGACCTGATATTGATCTCTGATAGTGAAAAGATATGGTTGTTACAGGGACTAGAAAGAGAGAGGCCTGGACTTGGACACCGCTGTCTTAGACTATTTAAAAGTAGAATGGGAGGCAAAGCCTTCAGCTTTAAGGCTCGTCTTCTCTGGAACCAGCTCCCAGTTTGGATTGGGGAGACAGGCAACTTTTCTACTTTTGATATTATGCTCAAGACCTTCCTTTTTGATAAAGCATATAGTTAGGTGACCTTTTTTAGGCTCTAGTTTAGGCTGCTAGGATGATGCACCCATGGTGAGTGAAGTATTTTTCCTTCACTCACCTTTTCAAGGTTCAAGGTTCAAGGTTCTTTATTCGTCACATGCATAGTTATACAAGTATAACACAATTAAATGTAGCCTGACACGCTCCTTGACTTGTGCAAAGGGGGGGAGAGAGGAAGAACATTATATATGATCTACATTAGGTGAATGTGCAGTAGTAGCATGTAAGCAGCAAGCAGGTGAATTCTGTACATTAAGTGAATTAAATAAGAATAGACAATCTGAACATTTTACAAAATAGACAATATGAACATATTTAAAATTAAAGGAATTTGAAATGTACTTTGTGCCGGTGGGTTTAGAGCAGGGGTTTCAAACTGAAATACACAGTGGGCCAAAATTCAAAACTGGAACAAAGTCGCGGGCTGACGTTAATATTTATTGAAATATATTTATTCCTCCAGATATAAGAATGAATCTTTTCTTATGGACTCAAACACGTTTTGCTTAAAAACTGGAACAAGCAAAGCTTAATACTAAACAATATATATATTAGCTGTATAATACCAGTAGGCCAGCTCTGATAGTCATTTGGTATGGCTTCGTGGGCCAAATGTAATTAGGCTGCGCGGGCCAGAGTTTGACACCTATGGTTTAGAGTATGTAGAAGAGAGTCCTGTCTCAGTCACTTATGGAGCAATCCTGCAGCAGCGTTCTGCTGTACGGATCACTCTCTGAAGAGCTTTTCAGTCTTTAACACAGCTGTTCCCAAACCAGGATGTTCTGTGTGAGGATGCTCTCCACAGCGCCTGTATAGAAAATCCTGAGGATCGCTGGAGAGACCCTGAACTCACTATGTATTTGTACACCACTCTGCATTTAATCATTAGTTGTTATGAATGCCTGGCTCTCTTCCACAGCTTGTGCTTTATCCTGTCTTCTTCCCATCAGCCCCCTCCAGTTGCAGCAGATAGCTGCTCCTCCTTGACCCTGGTTCTGCTGGAGGTTTCTTCCTGTTAAAATGGAGTTTTTCCTTCCCACTGTCACCAAGTGCTTGCTCAGTTGGTTAGTATCTTGCCCAACAACACTTCCACACATGGCCTAGAGAAGCAGGGACTCAACCCGGCCCCTCTATTCAGCCACATAGCTGCTATCCAATTACAATATAAAAGTATTTTTTATTTCCTAAATTAGGTGGACACTCTGAAAGTCTACACAAAAGGTTAAGATTAGCATCTTTGAGTAAGACTTGTGGAGTGGTTCTGGTCTACCTAGAATTCAGCTATCAAGACTAGTCCAACCAGGATTAGTCTTGATAGCTGAATCAATATTGATTTTGATAGATGAACCAATACTGAAATAATGGTGACCTGAAGAAGAGAAGGTCCTTCATTTTATTTGGCGAGGAACATGGAGGGTTTGTAAAAAATGAATTTTTCAATTAGCCATTTCTGAAATCCTAGGATGTGAATGAAGTTGCATCAAACACAGCAGTTATTTTAAATTTTTTGACAGAAACAACAGTTATTTAGATTTTGGGGGGCAGACATAACACTCCTTTAATTTCACAAATGATTGGTATTTCACTACTGTTATCAAAATAAAAATAAATGTTCTAAACAATAAAATAACATCTTTCAAGTGAATCCTACCCACTCATGAAGTCTCCAAATATATAAATGCCATTCAGGTTGGGGTATTCACAACCTCGATACACATAACCACCAGTGACTGACTTGCCCATCCTATGAGGATATGCATAAACAGGCAGGACATCATCTGTGAAAAAAATGAAAAAGGGTCATTAACTGCATTAGTATGAATCTCCATTATCAGAGCATCAGAACAGGATGTGCCATTATAGATACATCTTAGTTCAACATTGGGTTGGGTTCAGTCAAGTACCAACAAATGATTTGTCATCCATATTTGACTGATAAGCTAAATGTAATTCTGAATTTTTAAGCAAATATTTATTGCGTTGCTAATTAAGAGTGATTCTGAATATAAACTCTGCCATTAATTTGGAAAAATGTAGGACCTGATTCAGAAGAAGAAATGTGGGGGGAATCAGTGACAATGAATCATGTAATGGCGACAGTGAGAGAGTAATAGTGTCTCTATTGAACAAGACATTTATGTAAACTATTCAGTAATTGTATGATGTTTTTGTTCACACAAAAACTGCAAAATATACTCAGCATCTGATTTATCAGGTACACTTATTAAACTGCTTGTTAATGCAAAGTTCTAATCAGCCAATCATGGCAGCTGCTGAAATTCAAATCAAGTATCAGAATTAAGAAGCAATTACTTTGGATATGGCATAGTTATTGACAAGGCAGTTGGACTATTTCAGAAACTGTTGACCAAATTCTGATTTTTCCACATAACATGGACTAACCAAAATAAAAGAATGGAAAAAAGTTGCCTGAAGTGATGATTTTGGATGGTAGGCTGGTGGCAGTGGTATAATGGTGTGGAGAATATTTCCTTGGTCCACTTTTTGTCCCTTCACACCAACTGAGCATTGTTTAACTGCCACAGACTAATTTGATGCATGTTCAGTCTTCCATGTAAGAAAAACCAGAAAGTTGATTTCACCAGAAGAATTAACGCACTTCTGAGTGCAAAATGGTGACTAGTCTGAGACAAGTGTAGACTGATTGTGCTATTTTTAAAGCAATGGATAAATTACACAGACAAATCTTTAACATACACAATAGTGCATTGATGTGGCATACCTACCTAATGAACTGTTGGCACATAGTTTCTTATCGTAGCAAGAGAAGCCTTCTTTAGCTCTCCAGCCATAATTTCGACCTTTCTCGATTATATCGATTTCCTCGAACTTGTTCTGGCCTACATCCCCACAGAAGATACGCCCTTTGCCGTTTTTGGTCCATGGATCACCCCGGTCCACCGAACACCTCCACATATTGCGAACACCGTAAGCATAAACCTCCGGGCGTGCTCCCTGTTCATGTATAAACGGGTTATCTGGAGGAATTCTGTACAATGGACCTCTCTGGTTGTCATCCACATCAATTCGAAGCACTTTACCCAAGAGAGCTGACCTACAACGTAAAAAATGTTGATCTTTCACTACATATTGATTGTCAGTGTTTCCACAGTTTTTAAACAGCAATACCATCAGTACTTTCATCCTCTCTCCTCTTTAACAGACACACAACAATTCAAACTGTATATTTTTTGTATAGTTGTCATATTTATCTTTAGAACATTGTAATAAAAAATTGAAAATTTTTACTGTTTTTGCAATTTCTTACTGAACACGAACTGAACATAATTTTCACCAGATTGTAATGAAGGTTATAATGTCATAACAACATGCCTTTAATGGCAGATTTTTTCATCTAAAATGTCAAGAAACATACAAGATTATACATTCAAATGAGCTTTTTTACATTTTAATGAATAAATGTTTTACATTTTTCATTTTTGGATGTCTAATTATGAGCTCCTTACTTGTTTTGAGCATTCCCATATTTCCCAAATGGGTCTCCTGCCATTCCACCATCACCTGTGAAAATATACAAGTACCCATCATCTGCAAATAGCAGCTGCCCTCCATTATGGTTGGATGCCGGTTCATCAATCTCCAGAATAACTCTAAAGGAACATGTTGATACAAGAAATAAGGAATAGATCGGGTGTTAAAACAAATTTACACAAAAAAAACACAAAAGAATTGATGCAAACCGTTTGTTTCTCTCTGATAATGTTCAATATGACAAAAAGTATAAAACTGCAAAACAGTTCAGGTTTTAGAAAAAGGTAGTGCTTTTTGCTAACCAAGTACAACAGTTCATACCTACCGCTCAGAGGTGTGGTCCACCTCATTCATGTCATTGGCTGATACGTGGAACTCACTGATTCTGATTCTCTCATCAAAACCCACCTCCACTGAGTAATACACATACAGCTTCCCATTGTACTTGTATTTGGGGTGAAAGGCAAGTCCGAGAAAGCCTCTCTCATCACCTTCCCACGATGATGTTAGCACTGCCTGGGTAATGTTCAAAAATGGTCTCTCCAGCTTGGACCGATCTGGAAGATAGGTCCACACCAGGCCGACCTGTTCTGCCACAAAGAATCTATGTGTGCCATCATTGGCATGCACCATGGCTAATGGATTCTGGAGACCATTGGCCACTTCTTCCAGGCACAGCTGCAGACAGCCATCTGAGTTCACCTGAATGCCACCCAGGTTCTGGGTGAGTTGCTGGTTGTTAAGCAGATATGGATAACAGTAGTCCTTGTCTTGTATCTCCAGGTAATGGCAGAGACTGGTCTGATTTTCTCTGAAGTTTGCTATATATGGGTCACCAGACAAGAAAGGAATGGTGAAAGAACACTTATTCCAAAACTGAAAGCAGTATTCAGAGCAGAGGCCTGGGATGGTCCTGACCGGGGTGCTTGGATCCTCAGCATCAAAGAGGTGAGCTGCATAGGGAGAACACTCCTGAGATCAGACAGATGGAGGAGAGACAAAAAAGGAGGAAAAGAAGAGACATGCAACAAGAAGGAACAGTTAGTGCCACTGATAGCATGTAAAGTGGTCTTTAAACCTCCATTAGTTGTTTTTGTTACATGGATTACAATATGAACAAGTTACAAATACAGCGTACATAGGACAAGCATGATTTTAAATAAACTGCTTATTGCTGCAGTTTAACATCTGTCAAATATAGAGGCTTTGCATTCATTTGACATTATGTATCCTTTATATAAATCTTAGTCCAGTACTCTCAGGGAACTGTCATCCCTTTACCTACTCGTTCTTCCATTACAAAGAAAAAAAGTCTGTAACTCTCTTTGCCCATTGTTTCCTGCTGTGCAAAGTCTTGTATAAAAGCCTCTCTTGTGAAATATTATTAGTGATGTCAGTGAACTAAACCAGTAAAGTTGTGGGCCATAACAGAAAATACTGTTGAGCTTAAAAACCTAAAATGGTGACAGCAGCAATATTTCTTAATGTTAAGAAAGTTCATTCAGCCCTTATGACTAAAGGAGATATATAGAAGAGATATATAACTTTAGTCTTGACCCATATTGATCCGTATATATAAAATGATATGTTATGGTCAGGTGTGCTAAATTCTGCATAGAACTAGGGTTCTCCCTGTGCACTTTAACCACCTTGTATTCAGATAATTGAATAGATGATGGTAAACGAATATTAATGTTAAGAATGAATAATAATGTACTTCATTAATACATACTTGCAAAGCAAGATTACTGCAGGTTATTGTATTGAGATATTCAAATCACGATTAAAAACCCACTTATTCAATCTTGCCTTTCCCTCTAGTTAATATTTCTTTTATGATTTTATATCATGCACTTCTATGCTCATTTAAATTCTTGTTTGCTCTGTACCTGTTGCTTTCCTATGTATTAGTGACAGTTATCTGTTTGCATATTTAGTACTTGCTTTGGTCCTATTTCTATTATCCTCCTCCTATACTCTATTTTACTTGTTAAGCACCTTGGCATACCCTTGGTTTTTAAGTGTGCTTTATAAATAAAGTTTATTATTATTATTATATATGCCTGTAGATGATGAGGAGCATAATTCCATCTATTTCCTATAGACTGCTTTACCAGTAATGACAGAACATAAATAAAGCGCCAGACAAATCTTTCCTAGCCTTTACTGTATATCAGTGTACAGCTTTCAAAGTTGTCATGACATTTTTTAACTAAAGACTGCTTTGTTGTTTTGCTTCTGTTGCTTATTTCACAGCAGTTGTTTTGTTTGGCCAGTGTAATGGTAGGTCCTGGACTCAGCCAACCGACCTTTGTCCATGTGTTCCTACCTGGCAGAGCAAGTCAAAGATGAACCCGGCACAGCTGGTATATCCACTGTAGTCAAAATTATCCATAATCTGGTAGTATTTAGACATCAGCTCCTGGTCCTTCTGATAATCACAGCAGCCAAATTCCTTGTACATTATACAAAATTCCAGCTCCTTCTGCGGTCGGAAGGGCGGTTTAAAATCCAAACACTGCGGGTGTAACATCACAGGTGCAAAACATAGTGTCAAAAACAACAGAGTAGACCAGAGCCACAGATGGCTGGTGATTTTTCCACAACACCGCTGCATCACGGCTCACACTGCGTGACATGGGAGGACAGCTTTTTCGAAAGAGGCTTCCCGTGTGGACTTTGATCATTTGCATTGCTCAACGCTCTGACGTGGTGAAGCGCAGGTTCACAGCGTTTATTTTTTTATGTTTGCTCGAGTTTTAGCAAACATAGTTTTAAGCAGTTTGAAATTACAAAGAAAATGTCATTATTCAGTCATTTTAGTAAGTACTGCATCAGTTATGCACAACAGTTTTTTTTTTTCAGAACTGACGAAGCAGACAGTCCTCCGAATCTGACTTTGCGACTGACATTATTGCACATCAGAATAACTAACCAATTTATTTCCAGAGGGGGGCTGAGAAACAATCTTATGCTTCCGAAAGTAGGAAACAGAAAAATTATGACACGCAAATATGTTTTAAGTGGTTTGAATGAGGAGTTATAAATTACACTGGGAAGATTTAGTTAACCTTCTTGTTGCATTCGGTTGAAAAACGAAGCCAAGCTGTTTAATAGCAGAGAAAACGCCTTTTACTTTATCACCTGGAAACCCTGTGTTCTGTTGCTAAGTTAAAACCAACATTAGATAAATCGAAATATCGCCTTTCTCCATATTTCCATTTAAGCTGTAAAACGCTTGTGTACAAAGACTGTCGTCGGCTCAGCTAAACTCACAGTCAGTGAGTCAGTCAGGCAGACTACACACATGCAAACATAAACACACTGTTGATTGATCTTTGACTGAAATTTTGTTTATTACATTATGTTCCACCAGTTTTCTATTTTTGGCCACAATACTTTCTCAGGAATTTAACAATTTTGTATTTATTTTAATTTTTTGTTCCAATACTGCTGGATCATATTTTCAATATTCACAGCAAAATCTCCAGTGTTAAATTAACACTGGAGAGTGTCTATATGGGTCCACACCTCTGAGTGTTGAATACAACACTGTTGAGTGTTAAATTAACACTTTTGACAGTGTTATATGTTTAAAAGTAACCTAGTCAGGTTTGAAGATTAACAATGGCTAACACTGAGCAGTGCTGATTTTCTAACACTGGAAAATAACTCAAAATGTTAGAAATATTCCAGTATTAGAAAATCAGCACTGCTCAGAATCTTCAAAACTGATTAACACTCAGAGGTGTGGACCCATATAGACACTCTCTAGTGTTAATTTAACACTGGAGATTTTGCTGTGTTCAAACCAATGAGTGTATAAAAGATTTTTATACAGTCATTGGTTCAAACACACACACACACACACACACGCACACACACACACACACACACACACACACACACACACACACACACACACACACACACACAGATGCTAAGTTTCCAAAAAGCAGATTTAGGGCAACATGAAGAAGCAGCAAGAGGAATAAGGATACAAATAGTTTCGTGATCACTCAGTGATGACGGTGTCTGCAGCTACATTACTCAGATGTTTACTGACTAGTTTGATAGTGAATTTCTTCCGATCTGGGTGTGTGTGTCTCTTAAATTAAATCTGCTCATAAACAGTTTTAGATATAGACTCTAAGAATCAGAATTTCTAAAAGACCACCTGTCAAGACAATTATTTACAAGATTAAAGTCCCCACCAAAAACAATGTGAGAATTGGGAAATTTAGTTAACCAGTGAAGCACTCGCTCCCCTAACCTGTCAATGAAACCATTATTTTCAGGTTAGGAACTGAAGCCATAAACATTTACAACAATTTGCAATATCAAGCACTAATAGAAAATAATGACCAACTCTGCCACATTCAGAGATCAGGATTTTTCCATTAAAAGTATTTTTAAGAATGAAAACAACTGCTAAGAAATAACTCAGAGCCCGACTGCACCCTGGTTCGTCCTTTTTGGGCCTAGGCAATGCAGAGTATCCACATCTTTGGCCTCTGGCAGAACAGCTTGATCTGTTTGAATGACTTCTGTCCTTATGTCCTCTCTGTCCTTTTCCTCTCAGCCATAAAAACTTTCCAGGTGAGAGAGCCATTTTGCATGTGACTCGCTGGTTTCCTGATATTTTGCAAGTGGTGTGTCAAAGTGGTCGACTCTCTCCTTCATGGTTTTAATGTCAGCACAGATAAACTCAAAAATGTTGTTGGTGTCTCCTCAACCTTTCTCCATTTGACTGTTGGGGATTCAGATGGTGTAAGAGGAAGAAGGGGAAAATCCTCTTCTGTTATAGATGCAGCAGTTGTTAGTCTGAGCCGAGGTAGTTGTGCAATGTTTCCCTTGATGGTACTCGAGGGCACTCTTATCTGCAGTTTGCTAGTGAAGTTTTCTTGCTAGTGGAATTATCAGTTATTAGCACCTTATGAGCTTCCATGTTTCTTTTCTCAGAGCTTTTCATATTGTATTAATGTTGCAAGTCAAAAAGAGTAGAACAAAGTTAGCAAATAAGGCTCTAATTGCCCTATAACAAACAGAAATACCAGACCAGCTTATATATGACCAGCTTCTTTATATAGTATACTCATAGGTAAATGAACATGAAAGTACTGAGGAAGACTGTAGTGGGATTTACAGTGTGATGTACTGATGTCCCTCACAGTGACGTTGTGAGTTGAAAAGCAGAATGTGTGAATCTGTGACTTGAGAGAGCGCAGCTGAGCACTGGTGGCACTAATGAGAGGTCATTATCACAGAGTTGTGGTTGTAAGTAGTAAAGTAAATAAAACACATACAAATAAAATTTGAATTACACATTTGAAACTCTCAGTATATTTATGTAAATATCAAATCTACAAATTTTGGGATATTTTTCCTGTAATTCTAAATTTCAAACTACAAGTCAGAATGTCACGGCAGTAGCTGAACTCACACGGAGGCACAGGTTAGCATGATAACACAACTTTATTGTACAAAGCACTAAACTGCAAGGAAAATTAGACCGTGAACTATGAACTGAGAATTATTACATTTGTAAAGGTGATGTAAAGCAATAACTAGAAACAAAACACAATTACATTACCAGGACAACTAGACCATCAACTATGAACAAAGATTTCTTAAGTCTTTGAGTTTAACGTGAAGCTATGATTAGAAGCAAACATAATTAGACTGAAATAATTCGGTAGAAAGGCTAAAGCTCAGGGGCATGAAGGAAAGGCACGGGCTTCAGGGAATGCAACCGGGAGTCTCAATACACTGCAAATAGAGGAGAGTGGATTTAGTGGCTGAGTCCATACAATCCAGAGGAACTATAATCAAAGCAACAGGGAAGGTGGGAGGTCCGGGTGAGGCGGCTGGGTTCTGAGAGCGTGGGAATCCGTGGAATGCAATGATGGCGGCTGGAGGTCAGGCAGGTGAGGTGAGCAGATCAGAGCTGCCAAGCCTAAGGCCAGTGACAGGAGAAAAGGTGAGTATTGTCTGGGATGTAGCGTGGAAATCGGCTGAGCGGCTGCAGAGAAAAAACACAAAGTGAGTTTCTTTCTATAACAATCTCTTTTTACGCAAAAGCTGTGACAGCCAGCACTAACTGTGGTTAACAGAACACTTGGTGAACAGCAGTGGTGAGTGCTCATCTTAAATGCTGGCAGCTCAATTTCCTGTAGGTGTGGAGACACATCTACACCAACAAAATAAAAGCCTATACCAACCAAACCATAATCATAATAAAATAACAAACTGAACGTAAGTTACCATAAGTACCATTTAAAAAAGTGAAGTGAAAAATACTCCTTCAACCTTAATTACCTGAAGCTCTAACATCTAATTAAACAAACATTTATAGCGCTAAAACACTTTAAATCTTTACTAGAAAGTTAAGCCTGCCAGGTGAGCAGGCAGGCAGCATGGACACCCAAGTCTGTGAATGCGAAAGCCAGAGAATGAGGTGACGTAGGATTTTGAAATTCATACCAAAGTGAGACAGGTAAGTGTCTCACTTTGGTATGAGACTCCTTGGAGACCCCTACATAAATATCCATGAACTATGGATGGATATGGATATGGACACATTTTATGTATGTGGCTCACATGCACACATTTTATGCGACGACTGCATACATATTAGGAGGATCAGCCGGACGCTGATGGTATGTATGTTGTTGCCATTGCACAGAATTTGTGGATGTTTTATCTGCTTAATCTAACTTGGTTGTCCACTTAGAGGACTTTTGCTGTGGCATCACCTGTTGCTGCTGGGTCGGGAAGGGCTCCTTTCTAGGGGTGCAACGATACACAAAATTCACGGTTCGGGTCGATACTTTGGTGTCACGGTTTGATATTTTTTCGATACAAAAAAAATGTTCATGCTTTTTTAATTTGTCATTTATTAAAATTATAAATATATATTTTAACTCAAACGTACAGTTTTTAAATTTAATGTTGCTGAAACAAAAAAGTTATAAAAACAATAACTCTATCTGATCGAGAAATCACTCATCTTTGGAAAAGAGAGTTTATTACAGAGAAATGTCTCTTTCCAAAATAAAACCTACACTATACGCTTCTTCTGGGCTATATTCTCAGCAGCATATTAGACATATCAGGTCCCCGTAGTGATGAATGAAGCTTTCTGAAACATTGAAGCTTGTATTGAAAAACGGTTCATTACTCCAAGCTTTTCAACACAAGTCCTCTCTGGTGACATCTGGTGGCCAAAAATACGAAGAGCAGCTTGAATCCACAAAATAAAACCAACTGCTGAGTAATGATTGCCCACTCTACAGAGTGGAATGCTGTCTAATATTGGGCCACCGTTGTGTTGCTTTAAACGTGTATTTTTTGGGGTGACAAAAATGTTGTTAATTTCTTTAATAAATAATTTTGACCAGTAAACTCTCCTTGTTTAAACATGCACCATGGCGTGGTCTTTCTTTGCTTGTGACGTCTTGATGTTGGTGATGTTGGGGCGACCGTGGCTCAGGGGGGTTGAGAAGCGCATCTGTAACTGGAAGGTCACCGGGCTCTCTGTCCTGGTCGTTGTGTCCTTGGGCAAGACACTTCACCTACCGCCTACTGGTGTTGGCCAGAGGGGCTGATGGCGCAATATGGCAGCCTCGCTTCTGTCAGTCTGCCCCAGGGC